TATATATATGTCTATACATAATATATCACTTTGTCACTCCAGCTAGCCTCACCTTGCCACAAATGCTTAATCTTCCTGCCTTGGTCTTCCAAATAGAGGGACTAAAATTATATGACATCATACTCAGAGAGAGTTAGATTTTGAAAGACTAAATTATGCTCTTGGTTTTAGCCCATTGGTGGACATTTTAAGTAAATTTAAATAACATCTTATACAAAGAAGGGCAATAAAATACTACAGTACAGAATATTTCAACTGACATGACGTATGTTTGGGGATTATTTTAACTTTTCTTGGTTACTTTATTCTTGTTATCAATGCTGCTAGGAGTGTTGAACATTTTGATCTTTATACTTTCAAGAACACTCAGCTCATGTTTGTGAACTTTTCAATCTTACATCTTCATTTTGCCTGTGATGGCGTAACCGTTTCCATGATAACAATAATATGACCTCAGTAATGACATGGTAGTCAGAGAAAAGCAGATTAACTACCATCACAGTATTCACATACCCACAGAAATGCGGGCTTAAAGTACTGATTAGGACATTCGGTAAGTGGTTATTCCAATTTAGACAAAGTCCTCTCAGCACAGTGTTTCTCAAACTTCAATGCCCATCACTTTGGAAATCTTGGTAAAGTGTGAAAAGTGATCAAGGAGGTCTTGATGGGATTTGATTTTCAGCTTTTCTAAAATCTTCTCTGGTAAAACTGTTGCCCCTTCTCTCCAGATCATATTTTGAGGAGTTAAGAGCATGAATTATCATCAGGTTCAAGGGGGATGTGAAAATTAGTACATTTCTGATCTTGGAGAAAGTGCTATTTTGAATAACAGTCCTAATGAACACATCTGATCTGATATAAACCAGTTGGGTAACCTTCGGCAAACATCTTTACTTTTCAGTCTCTGTTTTTTTTATTTGTCTGTGAAATTACAAATTTGGCCTGAAAGAGCTCCAAGATCATTCTGAATTCTAAAATCCTTTGACTTTAATTATAAAAGACATTTGAGAATAAAGGAAATACATGGAGCATAATTTTTTCTATATTTACAAAATAAGTGGGGGAAGAGGAAAACATTACTTTGTCTACTATATATCCCTTCTTAATTCCAAATCCTTTCCTCTGTGTATTTTAAGGTAATATGTATATCTTCTGAATGTGCAGAACTTTGGCATTCTACATGAAGAAGAGGCAATCATGACTAGCAGACAACTTTTAACATCTCTCCAGCTCAACTCTCAGCATCTTTTAATGATTTTTCATAGCTAACATTGGGACACTGCCTTTCTGATCACAGAGCAAATCACCACCTTTCCGTTGTCTTCAATTCTGCTACTGAAATTCCATTCAGTTCTACCTGATTCCAGGAGATACAATGGAAAAGTGCAGAAAATCACCACCTAACTTAACAAAAGGTGGAGACTTCCCTTTTGAGAGGAGATGATTGTACAGTCACAAATGCAGCATCTAACTGATGATAATCCTGCTTTAAGAAATCATGTCATACCTGTCTCAAATACTCCAGTGATGTCTGTATCCTACTCACTTGAGCATCTTTTCCAGGTTCACGATGACCCTACCAGTGTCTCAGAGTTTCGTGCTCAGGTGACTACCTACTTGACATCCCTCAAGATTTCCAATCCTGCAGATGATGCCCAGGTCAAGTTCTCTTTTGAATACTTATCTCAACAGATGCAAATTTCTGATGTCAAAACTGGATCTGACCAGATTAGTCTACTGAAACTATATGAAAACTTTATTCTTAAGTTCCAACAGTCATTTGGTGAATCCATGAAACAAGAAATGAACCCCCTAACAAATGTTAAGGTTGACAAGGGAAAAAACTCCTCTCAGCAGGATTCTACTAATTTTCAGATCCTTCCTCAAAATCTAAGTTATAATGACACCAATCAGAGTGATCAGTTCCAAGAGGATATATCTGATGACACTCATGATGAAGAAATCACAGATATAATGGGGAACCTACCAGACTTGATCATTCAGTGCATTAAGCTGGACCAAAAACGTAATGACAGGCCAGAACTCCTACAGTCAGAAACCCAGGTCTCAATGTTTTCTTCCATGCTGCACCAACAATCCTTCCTCAGTCCCATACGACTAGCACCCAAGGAGGAGCCCACACAACTCCGGGGAATGCAACTGCCTGTCACTCCAGCCAAAAGAGCCCGCCAGCAAGAAACTCAGTCATGTCTCTATTGTAGCCAGGCTGGTCACTTCACAAGAGACTGCCTTGCTAAACGTTCTCGAACTCCAGCAAGTGTAAAAAATGCAACTAACAAGTAAAAGAGGACAATAAGTCATTTTGCAAACTCTTATCCCTCTCACCGTTGACCTTACTGATTTAAAATCCTCCACAAACTTTAAAATACAAATGAGTTGCTGTGGTGTCACTTTACAGACAGCCATAAATACTTGTATCCCCAGGTTTAAATTAGAACAACCAGAACCTTCTCATTGGAAGCTAACCCCACACCAAACTTGATCTAACAATAATGAAGACAATTCACAGAGACATTGTAGTTGGGACCCATCTCTCCATGAGTTCTCAACGTTTGAATGCAAAACTCTTTCCAGTCTGAGCCAATAAAAAGAATCCTGAGAGTTTATTGAAATTTCCATTCCCACCAATGAATGAGATCTAGATTGATTCTGTTGGTGCAAGTTCTATAGCTTATGTGACTGGGATTGAGCCCAAAGTTTTCATCATCTTCTTCATTGATCTGACTTTTAGTGAACTGTTTGTTTAGGTTCTTTGTTTGAAATCCCATTTGCATTACCATATGCTACAAATATTCACTTCTTAGAGCTACAAGAATCTGGATTCTACTCAAATTATTGACCACATTGTGGCTCCAATACAAACTAGCCATACTGGAACTGCATATCTGCCACTAGTCCATGCAGTTATGTATTTTATTGCCATCTAAAGACACCTACTTACCCAATAACATAACGCTTAACTATTGGCAAAACAGACTTTATGGCTATTTGAACACTGCTTGTAATTGATGGCACCCTTCTTTGAAGAACAGTCCATCTAGCAGGTATATGCACTAAGGCAAACTTTTACAATCCAAGTTTATTCACATCTACTCTAATGACCTTTTTTAGGTTCCAGGTACATGGCTAAGTCAAATGGTTTAGAATAATAACCTGGAAAGTTATTTAGTGACAGTTGTTTAAGGTGAATCATAGCTACAGCATGTTCTTGCTGTCTTGAACAAGGACAAATCTCCACTAAGGACTGCAGTTCTGCTCCAGCATCTTTTTTTTTCACTCGCTAGGTCTCAGCTTGCAGCTATTTAGGATCACTGCCAATTGCTACTGACTTCTACGTTTATGAATCACCTCTGGGTGTGATCATCTACTCAAAGATCTTGAAAAGCACTGGGATTACATGCAAGTTTTGGAACCATCTCATCTAAAAAAATACTGGGGAATATACATTAACACCATCTGTGCACAAAACTCAGTAACTGGGGTGTTTGGTTGCTTGTCTTATACTCTTGGCATACATAAGATCTATATCTTCTATATATTCATGCAAAAACAAGAATGATATGCTCTAAAGGAACAACTAATCAGAAATACTAACATCCAGTTTTGATTAGTATTTGCAAGTAATTACCAGTCCTTTTTTTTCCCTGCTTCTTGTTAATGATGTATTTCCTTGTGATGGATCTCTTGAATAGCAATAATTTCACTTTCCATAGTAGCCATCAAGGCCTATCAGAACATGAAGCACCATTGCACTTGGTCCTGGTTCCTGTAAAGTTGTGCATACTTTTCAATAATTAATCCCAGATAGGATCTTACAAATTTCATCTTGTAGCACAAATGAACATATTTATTCCTCCGTAAGGGCCTCATTATCTACTGTGTCAATCCTTCCTTGCACTCATAAGCAGTCTCTGCTATCAATAGAATGCTGTACATACAGATTATTCCATAAACTACTGTATTAAGGAGACCTGAATGCATACATTTCAGTTATGCTAAGAAATTTCCAGTTCACTACCAAAATTGTATAAAATATTTTAACAAGTAGAGCTATTTGAATGTTGATTGACTCTGGGATTTCAAGAAAGAACCATGATCTATCTGTTTTAATTCTGCAATAAAGCACTATTCCAATGACCTATAGTCACTTTCATTTTCTTTTCTTTCTTGTTTTTCTTTTCATATTTTGAAAGGATGAAATTATGGAACATACATATCCAATGCAAAACTACTAAAACAACTTCTTTTAAGTCACAGGATGCAAGATCAATATACAAAACTAAATTGTATTTGTACAAACTAGCAACAAGTATTTTAAACATAAATTTTAGAAAATAATTCCACATAAAAATGAAACAGACTAAGATATACGACCACATATGTAAAAGCAATTTCCCTTGTACAGTAAAAACTACAAAGCGTGGATGAAAGCAATTAAATAATATTCCACGAACAGAGAAGCAATTGATGTGTATAAATTAGAAGATTTGAGGATTCTTTTTAAATATCGGCAAGATAGTCATACAAAATACCTATATTAGTCAAAAATATGCAAAAATTGCTTATGATGCCACAGGACCAAGATAATGTGATATTGACAGTACGTTACCATTTGAAGAAGTGGAACAGAATGAAGCATAAAAATGAGCCATGTGTTTGATAGTCAGGTGATTTTTAACAAAGATTGCAACTAAATAGAAAAATGTAGTCTTTTAAGCAAATAATTCTACTAATACAATAAAAACCCTCAAAACATAACATTGATACCAATGCAGGCTAAGGTGCCAAGTATTGAGAAATAAGTACACAGAAATATCTTTAAGGCCTTTGGTTACAAAGGGAGTTCTTAGACACAATGCCAAGAGCACAAACCAGAAAGAAATTGAAAGGATAAATTGGACTTTTTAAAAAAATTAAAAGTGCTTTAAAATAAATCATTGAGAGCTGGAGAGATGGCTGAGCAGTTAAGAGCACTGGCTGTTATTGAAGAGGACCCAGGTTCAATTCCCATAACCCACATGACACTAACTATTGTCCATATCTCCTGTACCAGGGGATCTGTCACCCTCTTCTGAACTCTGTGGGCACTTCTCAACATGGGTGCATTTACACACATGCAGGCAATGGACTCATACACACAAAATAAACACAATATTTAAAAAAATAGAAATCATTGAGAAAATGAATAAGTATTGGTGCACACCTTTAATCTAAGTACTTGGGGGGGCTAAAGCAGGAAGGTGAGGATTTGGGGGCCAGGCTCACCTCAGACACAGAAAGATGGGAAATACCAAGAGAGAGGAAAAGACAGAATGGAAGGAAGGAAAGAAGGAAGAAAAAAGGAAGGAAGGAAAAGAATGAGGGGTGAAAAGCTCAAAGCGATGAGTGAAAATATTGCCAATAATTAGCTGGCTAATGAACTTGTACACAGATATAAAGAACTCTTTCCTGTTAAGACTGATTTCATTTTAAAATGTGTGTGTGTGTCTCTCTCTCTCTCTCTGTGTGTGTGTGTGGGGGGGGGAGTAAGTGCACATGATTGAGAGATGTTGGCCATGGAGACCAGGGCCTTTAGTCACCTTGGAGCTGGAATTATTGGCAGTGTGAGTCACATGACTTGGGTGCTGGGAACCAAATTCAGGTCATAGGGAAGAATACTAGATGTTCTTAACTGCTGAGCTATCTCTCTAGCTTCTAGAACATAAAAAAAAAAAAAAACCCGTAATGTTCAAGAACAATAGACATTCAAATTTTAAAAATTAGCAAAGTGGTATAAAAATAACTAAGTACATTTAAAAATACTTAAATAATTAGATGTTAGGGAAACCAAAATCACAAAGTCACTGTTTCATTATTTTCTTTACAGACCCCAAGATGGGTTTATAGATGTCAACAGAACATTCAGTAGGTTATTTTAATTACCAAGCATTCCTTATCTTAGGGGCACCTGTTTATTGTTTTGGAGAGTCTTATCAAATTATATCACTCTAGTTCCTGGATGGTTCCTCCCTTTTCAATATGTGCTTCATGAAATCTTTGGACTTCATAGCCTTGTCGAAAAGATACTCGGCTTAGAGCTATGAACTTCAGCTCACTTCTCACTTCTGCAGATTCCCTGTTTATGTATTCTCTGTCAAGGAGCTATTGTGCACTGTTCTATTCAATTAAGTAGTCTGGTTGAGCAAAGTAATGGAGATTTGTGATAACACTTTACTGCTTACTGTCTAGCAAGCATTTTACCATACAAAATTTTTGTTATAGTGACATCATCCGTTATAACCTAGTAACTTCAACTGGAATGACACATGAGTTAGCATAAAGAGAACTGCAAAAGGTCTTCCTCAGAAATTATACTCAAGTGGATTTACAAAAACTGATTAGAATTCACAAAAAACATATGACATGTAACTTACACAAAAATGTAGTCTTCAGAAGTATAGGCTTAAGGAATACCTAAATCTAATCAAGGATTCAGTTCTAGGAAAATAAACCTGTTCCATGATTGATGTCACCCAACAAGGTAGGTCCTAAACATTTTTTAAAATATTTTATTATTTTTTATGTGTATGAATGTATTGTCTGTGTGTGTATAAGTGTACCCTTGTCATGCAATACCCGTAGGGGTCAAAAGAGGGCATTGGATCCCCTGAAATTGGAATTACAGATAGTCATTAGCCACCATATGTGTGTTGAAAATCAAACTCGGGTCCTCTGCAAGAACAGCCAGGGCTCTTAACCACTGAGCCATCTCTCCAAGCCTGGTTCTAGACATTTCATGATAAGTCTGATGAAGGAATTAACAGGAGAATGGTTTGTATGGTATCTATAAACTGAATCAATGAATGAAACATAGAGTGCTGATAAATTCTCCATTCACAAAATTGGGATATTTACCTGCAGACCGTTTAATAGGCCTATCCTTGTAGTGAGATTTTGTCACTAGGCCACCCCAATTAGCATAGTTAGCCATTATGATGCTCACCTATCTTTGTTCTGACTTCATTGTCTCCAAATAATCTTATTATAATTACTTCCCTATTTAGACCTTGTTATGGATATATTTGCTAGCCATCTGACATGAGTGGTATAGCCTATATGGCATTTGCTTTTCATTGTAAGTTAATAAATTAGTGTTTGGCTTACATATCAGTTTCTTGTGGGTTTTCATAACATTAATCCTTTTTATCCAAATCACATGGAAGTACACTGAGAAAATTATTATCTCTATTTAATGTCACTACCACAGTATGAATCATAGTGGATGTACTGAAGTTCAGTCTGCCCAGATATCTTTCCTCAACATTAGCCAACTTCCCTCTTTGTTTCTATCATTTGTCTGTAGCTATAATAAAATCCCTAAATATATATCATTTTAAATTTCTAACTTACTTCCATTCATAACCAGAAGCATAGTAGCTGCAATAAGCAATTGCCTTTATAAATACAACTGTCATACTATACTCCCATGGACAAAGACATAACTAGATATTGACCACTGACAAACACAATTTGGGAGGGAGAAGTAGATGACTGATTTTACTTTTACCACTTCCATTTTGTCCAAATGACAAAACAATGACCCATGTTCTCTCTCACTTAATCCATGATGATATAATAAATCAACTTTTCCTCAATTCTGGGACACTATCACTCAGAACATTGTATTACCACAATAGTAATCTTTGAGTCAAAACAGAGCATTTTAGAAATACAGAATTTCTGCCAGAATCTAGGCAAAATCAAACATCACATTGCACAGCTTTGAGAGATTGTGTTACATCAGGAAAGCCCTTTACACAGGTGAACCCTTTTACTGTCTCCTTGTGAAGGTTCAGATATCACTTGGCTACAGGAATGAAAAACACTTCCCAGGAAATGTTGTCTTAAGTATCTTCAGTGTCATCATGTTCTGAAAATCACCGCCCACATTTAAAAGCAAAAGTTTCAAAAATAAGTTAGACCAATTAGTAGAGTCAGTATAAAATTTTTGGCAAATGTATCTTAGTGCTGAACCCATGCTGCCTAGTCATTGATCACAACTATATCTTTGAGGATTCATGTACTAAGTTATTGGTATTATTTTCTGGAAGTGATTTAGATTCTTGGGTCTCCTTGAACTTCTCCCTTCCCACCCATTGATTTATATTTCTTAGACGAAATGTCTCTGACTCTTCTATCTATTCAGTTCAGTGAGTAGCCAGTTATGACTGTGTTCACCAACCTCATTTATTTCACAGTAGCACAATAAAGGGCTATGTATTATTCACTACACAGAAAGTCCATCCAATTAGTCACAAAATTTAGCTTTTTGAATATCTAGGAAATGGGAATTAATTATTGGTGTACACTTACTTTTTGCCAGACACTGTAATGAGAACTTTAGTTTCTTCTCAGTTAAGTGTCATATTACTAAAAGAGAATATCCATCTCTAACATTTCATGCTCACTGCATATTTATGAGGTTACGTGTTATAAATTCAATTTAAAGATGATGAATGAAGATTCAGAGCAGCTGACTTATATGCTCCAGTCATGTAGTATGGGACTGAGCTAAATATGAAAACACGTCTTCCTCTCTCTTGTCTGTTTTTATTTAACTACTGGGATTTAGCCAAAGGTCTCACA